TTATACTGTGCTATGAGCGTGCTCTGTCCTTGTTGCTTGCAAAAGTTGAACGAGGACAGAGCACGTTCGTAGCGCTAAATAGCATCTCCCCGAACGCAGCCATTATTAACGAGATTGCAGGTGCAACATTATAGCAATGTTGCGGTGCAATACTTTTGGAATAATTTGTCGTTGTTGTACATAAGCAGAGAATTTACTAATTACATATACATCCGGGCCTTTTTCAAGGCATAGCAAGCTTTTGTGAAGCAACCCCACACAGCACAGAAAGATTGCAGAAATGTTACATTGCAAGGGGCTTGTTTTCTGTTCCTGCACTGGTGAACTAGTGCAGTAAGCTAGAATGAGAAAAAATATACTTGTCTTACTCCAATTTATTGCACTAGTTCACCAGTGCAGGAACAGAAAACAAGCCCAATATTGCAATATTGCAGCAACGTTGCGCAACATTGCTGCAACGTTTCTGAAGGATTGCAGCAACGTTGAAATGTCCGCCCTCAGAGTGCATTCTAGCTTACTGCACTAGTTTACCAGTGCAGGAACAGAAAACAAACCCCCTGTGTTATTAGTGCAGCAGTGTGAACCTCCCATTACTACACGAATGGCGCTTCTGTTGACTACTCCACTTCGCTCGGCGATCGAAAGATTCGAATTTGCTCCCTGCCGTGCGATCATACGTGCCACGTACTGACGTTCGAGTGCAAAAATACTTCCACCAGTTTCAACGGAAAGAATGCATCTCAAGGCGACCGAGCGATAACACAACAAAATGCTCCTTTGTAAGTGATAAAAAGAAGTCGATACAAGAGATGAATGTAATTTACAGCTGCCGAAATGACAAGCGACCTGTTGATATTCATTCCGCAAACGCTGCGCGCGGAGCGTTCCGGTTACATACTCGGCAAGGTGGTGCACGATGCCAGCGGCGACCTGAACAAGTTCTACATCGTCAGCTCGCGCGGGCCGGCCTCGATGGAGCTGACCAGGTCTACGTTGGGCGTCATCGGGTATCATTCCAATGGGAGCGACGCGATCGCCGAGCCCTCGGAGCGCAAGCACTCGAATTGGGTGCACCTGGCGGCGACGCCGTCCGAGGACGGGCGGGACAGCGGATATCGTCTGGCGAGCGTCGTTCTTAACGGCAAGAAGGTAGATCTGACGGTGACGCGCACGATGCTCGTGCTGTACGACCAGCGGGCGTTGCGGGAGACGGAGCTGTTCGAGAGCGGGACGGGCGATCACTTCCACGAGCTCGCCAGGCTGATTCAGAGCAAGCGGCACGAGCTGGAGACCAAGTCCAGACTCGCGCGCGCCTGGGAGACCCTGCTCACCTGTCACGTGTCCCTCTACCTGTATCCCGTCCTGCTGCTGTCCACGACGACGGAGAGGCTGCTGCCGGTTCTCAAGTACTCCTCCCTCGGCCTGCACGTCCATGACTGGCTGAGGAACGTCAAGTGGATGCTGGCGACGGTGGTGCGAGATGGACACTTTAAGCTGAAGACGGGAAATTATGCGCTGGCTATTGTGATAGACATAGCGCTGGGGATCTACGTGCTGAGATTGCTGCGGTATTACATCGAGGATCAGCCGTCGCAGCTCCTGCTGAGCAATGCGGAGGCAAGTTTAGGTGTACACGCTATGTACGTGAAGCAAAATAATTTGCGTTCTAATAAAAGAGAAAGTGCAAATTGGAAATTTGCACATTGCTTCCTCATCATGTGGCCCAATTTTTTTTTATTTTAAAGGTGCAAATTGGAAATTTGGCAGCATCAGCTTTGTGGCAAGTTGTCTATTCAAATTTCGCTTCCTTATAGAGGAAGCTTTGTGAGTAAATGTGCAAATTAAAAATTTGGACATTGCTTATTCTAACTTGTAAAAATGCAAATTGGAAATGGGCAAGTGATTATTAAAAATTTGGGCAACCTCGTAGAAGAGGCTTTGTGAGTAAGGTGCATTTTGGAAATTGCTTACTCCAGAATTTTTATTTGCATACAAAGCTTTCTCTATTAGAAAGCCATATCCAAGTTTCTAATTCTCCTCCTCTTCGCATACGTGTTTCTGGCTTCCTCATAGAGAAAGCTTTTGAAATTGATAGACTTCATTTTAAGTTTGATATCGAAGTTAAGATAATTTAGAAAGACAATAAAAGACCTGATTGTCCGCGTTATATAAAGTAGAGTGTCGCGGATCTTCGATACGCACTTCTATCTATTTCTATTAGCTCCAACAGCCAAAACTTTTATCCGGCAGAAAGTCGTGGAGGCCTTAAGGGACCTGATTAACTGGCTGATGGGCGTGCCAGCTGGCCTGAAACTGAACCACGCCCTGAACAACACCATGGGCAAGTTCTTCCTGTATCATATACAACTCTGGTGGACATTCCTAATATTCTTGAAGCCGCTTCTGGATCTCTCGTTCGAAGTGCTGCTCCTGTTCGGCAGGCTGGGCGTCACGTTTCAAATATCCATCGTCGCGGACCTCCTCGCTCTCGTCAGCTTCCACACGTATTGCATCTACGTTTACGCAGCCAGGTGCAACGCGTTTTCTCACGTCTCGCACGTCGTGGACAAGTTTTAACAAAATAATTTCTCGTTTGAGGTAACTTAAGCGCTCGTAATCGATCATAGACTCTTCAATATTCAGCTGAGGGGGATCACGGCTCTCTTTAGACTCTTCCTCGGCAAGAAGAAGAATCCCCTGCGCGAGAGAGTCGACTCCTGCCAGTATCAAACGGACCAGCTGTTCGTCGGCACGCTGTCCTTCACAATCCTCCTGTTCCTGATGCCCACGACGTGGGTGTACTACACCGTGTTTACGCTGGTAGGGTAAAGCCTCGTCTACAATAGTCGCACAGACTGTGTCGCGCGTCGTACGAGAATATCGTAAGTATATTGTTTCCGGGTCGTAAAGCGGGGAGCACACACTTTTGCATAAGTGCACAAGCATATGCATAACCAATTTGATTGGTCCATTTCCTTGTGCATTTGCTTAGAGATCAATCAAATTCGTTATGCATATGCTTATGCACTTATGCAAAAGTGTGTACTCCCCGCTTAAGGCTGTCGCGGTCGCAGACGCCCCTGTCGCACGGAGTTGAACCAATTTCCACTTTCTGCGACTGCGACAAGCATGTCGCATGAGATCAGCCAATCATAGTACGTTGGCGCTAAAAGTGTAGTAGCGAGCGAGAAAGCGCGAGACTTATTAGTTCTTCTGTAACTGATTATATGCGTTTTATCTTGACTACATAGTATATAGTTAATACTATGAAGTGTAATGTGAATTAATTGACTAACTGGTTCCCTTGCCGAGAGTGAAGTCTACAGTGATTTACTTTGTGTTGCTAGCAGCTAGCTGATCCATAGTGAATTTTCTTATTAATGTTTTGTATTAATGTAAACAATGTAGAAAATGAAAGCTGAGGATAATCTTATTGCCTTCTAAGTTTTCGCGGCTGCTGTCTTCTTCAGTCGTAATGGCTTCCGGATGGTTGCCGCAAACATTGCAGTTTGCATCATCAGGGCTGGGAGACTCTGATACTGAGCCCCCTCGAGTTGCGGTAGTCCTTAAATACCCTTAATCTTATTGTTAGTGCAGACAAGGAGATAATAGCCTTTGTCCGCGCAAACCCCCTGTTGTGGCGGAAGCGTATTAAAACTAATAAAAAGGACAAGAATATCATCAATGAAGCGTTTTCACTGAGCAAACGGCAATATAAAGACAGTGTAAGGATTATAGATCTTAATTGAACTAGAGCGTAAACTTAAATAAATCAAACTCTTCAATTGTCAGGGAAAATTCATATGAGAGTTTAATGTTAACACTGTAACGGTTCAAAGTGAACTTGGTCCGATTAACACATACAAACACTATCGAGATAAATTATTCGCTGTCCGTAAATAATATCAGCTCAAGCAAATGCACAAACTAACTTGTTAATTAATGATCAATTTCTCTAACAGTCCCTCGTCAGATACTTAATAATTTCCAGACAGTCCCTCGTCTACTTTTACACTCAGTCTCGAAATTCAACCTTCTATTACACTGGCTTATAATGAACTCTCTGTCTTTCCGTGTCTTTTACCCATTCATCGCTTCGTATTTTTGTTTTCTGTGAGTCGCGCATGTCCTCGCGTCAATACCAATCCTCCAATATCGCTCTAAGTTTATATTTTAATATTTTCTTGTCCCTATTTCTTCCCTTATTTCTGCGCTATCAGCAGATTGTACTTTGCCTCTTACAGCAGTAAATTTGAAAATTGGAGGCAAAGTTGTAGAAAGATTAATAATTGTGGCTGCGAGTTGGCGCTATCGCGAATCTTTGCGACTATTGTAGACACTCGTTCAGCGACAAACTTTCCCGCGACACAGCCTGTGCGACTATTGTAGACGAGGCATAACATTCGCTTAGACCTCGGTCCTTTTCGGACTCCGCGGTATTATCTGTAGCCTGATTGCAGCTGAGATTAGCGTCGATCGCGTTTGGCGGCTTTCTGACCCGGCTCAAGTTTTACCTGCAAGTCATGCCCGTTTACACCTTTTGGAAGTGGCTGCTGCGATCCTACAGCACTCGCAGTGAGTACGCGACGTATCGTCGGAAGGAAAGCAGAAACGTAGCAACCTCCTGTCGTTCGACAGTGTAAAGTGTCCTCGCGATTTCCCGCAGGTATCGTCGACATCAGACTGCATCCTTGCTGCGCGGAGGGACTGACGGTGCTGTCGATGACCACGGTCGTCGCGCCTTGGAGGCTCACGTGGAAAAGGTGCGTCCCGGACACGATCGTCTGCCATCCGTCCATCGAGTGGAGCACGATACTGAACAACGTCATATGGGGCCATTTGTTGTATCCCTTGTGAAAAATAGATCTACATCCTTTAGTTACAATAAAACTTATTTAACATTTGCTTATCCTTTATTTACAGAATAAAACGTCTGGCTACCAGATTTCTCTTCTAGCGTTCCGCGCGTTCAGATAAATACTACTGTGAGTCGAGCTGGGCTAACATTAGTTTTCACAGAAAGCACGAACATTTCACGCGATAAAGCAACGATTGCGTAACGGGAACAGTTTTACAAGAACAGTCCGAGAGGTAGCGTTTCAAATAAATAGTCGTCCTACTTCGACGTGGGTTTAATATTGTCTTTCTTCTCCACTGCCTGCTGCACCTTGCTCAGCGACTGCCCCAAGTCGGTATAGAGCATCAAATCGATGTCGTTCTCCTCTCTCAGGATACAGAAGTAGCCTAGGAAGATGGCCATGCTCGCCGACACAATGTATCCCTGATACCACGGAGTCCTGTCCCCGTCCGGGTCGCGATACTCGTCGATTCTCATGGTGGCGGCTTTCGACGTGGAATACTTTATGGGTTCATCGACGTCGTCCTCGGCCTCAGCCTCCACTGCCGTGTTGTGCTTCTTGGAGGGTACCGTGTCCCATTTACTTCTGACACTGTGCGTCACTTGCGGTACGCTGCACCTGCGAAGAGCCGAATATTGAATCAAATTGAGGTGTTAAATTACTCGGTAACAACTTCCTCAGTAATTTCAACAGGGCTGTTCAAATTTTTAACATAAGTTTGGGACTCGGAGCTCCTTCGACACGTAACGCGAGTCATTTCCCGTAGAGTATACTCGAAATATATTTCAATAACGGAGATAAAAGATTTAAATAATTCAAGGTTTCGATTACCTTTTAAGCAGTAAACTCTTACCACGCAGTAAGAGATTGTTTTTTAAGACGTTGCCCAACATTGCAGAGATACAAAATTGAAACTGTATCCTCCGAGAGATCCCGTCGAGTGCCCGATCGACACTTTATGTTAAAATTATCCTGAAATTGAAATACAATTTGGTGTAGCTCTTTTTATTCCCCTTCCTGCAAGTTCGGCATTCAATTCCCGAGTGACCGAAGAATCCGAAGATCCCGAGCTTCCTTGTCTTTCTTAGGAGAAGCTTCGGATCTCGGAACGTTCAAGCCATAGAACATAGCCGTAGTATAACTGAGTATAACTCCATCCATGATGTAAGTATAAAGGTGTACCATTGCGCATAATGGCGTCATCCGTAGTGACGTATGTGTAGTAGGCCAATGAAAAATGGCCAGGAATGCAGCCGCGAAATTCAAATGCTCTATTAATCGTATATTACTAAATATATATTAAAATATATATTTTAACTTAAAATTTGTAATAAAAGAATAATATTTCAAGATATCCTCTTCAAGATATCCTCAATAGGCTCCACGTCCGTATTCTCGAGGCCCCTGCTATCAATCTCCGTCGCCAGCCATTCTCTTAATACGCACACTTAACCTTACCAACACTGTTTATTCTGTGTGACACTGTCAGCAGCCATATTGAATTCTAACATTTCTGGCCATTTCTGATTGGCTATCATTTTTGACGACTGCGCATCCACGGGAATGGAACACCTTTATACTT